ATCCTGCCTGTAATAAAGTTATGGAAAGGTTGGTCTTGTCTTCACAAAGACAATGATATGTGTTTCTGATCAGCTGCTCCATCTACAACAAGATGAACGTCACAGTTCCTCCACTTGTTAGCAGTGTCTGATATAATATGTGTCATTAACAGGCATCCAGTATACCTTGAATGATACACAGGTACCTGTACAGAAACTAGACATACACCAATAAATCGAGAAATGAAAGGAAATCACAAAACATTATACTCCATATTACTGATATAGTACTTAACTGTTATAAAAGTGAAGGAGATGTCGGGTTGTCTGCTGTTCAGTCGCAACAACAGCTGAGAAATTATATTTCATGTTTTGTATCAAGATGACAGTCAAGATGATGAGTAAATATGAAAAAATAGTGGTTGTAAAGACTGATCAATGCCTGAATGTGTTAACAATGTATTGATATCGTTACCTAACAACAATAAAGAGTAGCAGAAAAACTACCATGTTGTTTCAGTTAATCGCAAAGAGAATGAGAATACTGACACACATCAGGAGGGACATTATGTCAGGCTCGAAACCTTACATTGTTACAATGAATTATGTGTTTATTGTTGTACACAAATCTGGATATACATATCCATGCTAACCACGTGAAGATTTTTAGAGTAATGAGATAAATTTGACCTCAAACTTTGACATGGTGACCTTAACCTGTGGTAGGGCAACTTTTCAATTGATTTCAGTCACCTTACATTGTTACAATGAATTATGTGTTTATTGTTGTACACAAATCTGGATATACTTATCCATGCTAACCACGTGAAGATTTTTAGAGTAATGAGATAAATTTGACCTCAAACTTTGACATGGTGACCTTAACCTGTGGTAGGGCAACTTTTCAATTGATTTCAGTCAATTATTTACAAATAATGTTCAAGTATATGGTCCATTTTCTATACCAAGCAATGGTGACGTAGACCTTTGACCTTTCAACATCAAAAGCAACTGAGAACAAGCACTTCCTTGAAAGCAGCAATTGAGAAAGTCCAAATGTAATGATATTAACAAAAGGGAAGATATCTTGCAGAAGCCTATTTTCTATTTATAGTAACAGAGATCTTGACCTTTGAACTCAGAACACAAAAAATCATTCCTACAGAAAAACTTCCTTTTGAAAAAGCAATGAACAAAGTTTGAATTTGATTGATCCAACAGAACTTAAGAAATTGTGCTGATAACAGAAGAAAAAACCAGAGTCCCAAATGAAAACCTGATGACTTGATAGGGCACCCTTATCTCTGATGTGTGGCCCAGACCTATAATAATGAAAACATTGGAGTAAATTTGGAGTTGAAGGTGGTTATATCTAATGTACATAAATCACATGACAAATTCTTCTAATATATTACAAAAAATTCTCCATTTCGGCATGTGGTGCCTCTCAGAACCATACATAACATTAACTTAAGAGAAAAGAATCCTTATTAACAGTGTAGCCCACTTGTTAGTTATTTAAATTTTTGATACGGGTATGCTAATTGATCAAATACAACTGATCCCCTCTCAGAATGTAGGTATTCCAGACTTATGTTCATGAACACCTGTCAATTATTGACATACAACCAGATATCTTCACTCGTCAGAAAAAAATCATCATTTACCAGTAGTGTCTGTTCTTCATGAATGATATTAAAGGGAAATATGTAAGCCATGTAATCAATTCACACAAACTGTATCAGCTATCAATTACAACTAGCATCTTGCATGTCAACGTGTATGAGATTTGTTGTTTAGGAGTTATGACAAAATTCCGCAGACAAGCATGTGACTTGTGATGTAAGAACAAAAGTTATAGTACATATAGCAGTCTCAGTAATGTGTAATTAACTCAAGAAATCGGTTATACTTGGGAGGAGCTTGCAGTATCTAGATTACAGGGAGCTCCAATAGTCGTTATGAAGGAGCACCAATATGGACAATAGCCTGGGTTGTGGAAGGAGCCAACAGTATTTATAATGAAGGTCTCAGCATGAAACTCCTACAAACTCTACTGCACACAAATTAAATCTGAGTTTCGGTTGGGTGCTCTGCTTGAAATCATGACAAAACTAAAAGGCAGTTAGCTTAAGAACAGGAACAGAAAGGAGATTGTATAAAGATATGAAATCTTATGACAGTTCTTTCTGATCCAAAATGTCTAGTACCATATCCTTAGTGAGACTTTGGAAGGGGTGATACAGCTGGGTGTCAATTAAACAATTATGTCCAGTATCACCCACTCATCTGGTCCTCATTAACCCACCAAATGTAAATATTGGGAGAAATGCTGAAATATTTACTGTGTTGATAGGTTGGATATCACTACACAGATTCTGTACAAACAAACATTTATATACAGAATAGAAGTATAAATGTGACCCTGTATTTCACATACTGACACTGAACTGTGAATAAAACCTGCTTTCTGCAAGAGTGATCCAATACCCCATGAAAACACATTAAAATGAGGCCAAAAAGCACCAAATTCTGAATTCTCCAATATTCAAAACAAATCTTTTGGGTCAGTTATAGCAAGTCTTAAAAAAAGCTTAACTTAGTGTATTCACTTGAAATTTTCTATTCATTTGATGACAGTAGTTAATTGGATGTAATCTTCATATGGCCCGTCGGTTTTTAAGAAATGGATCAAATTAGACTGGGATAATTTTTGACACCTTTCGACATTTTCAGATTTGAAAAGTCATTTTAGATAGGGTTAACAGTTAAACATTGAACAGTTTTATTAATAAGGCTTACTGTACCTATTTAAATTAACACAAGAGAAAAAGAAGACTTTTTTTCCCCACAACCTTTTGTTTCAAGTAAATTATATCTAAAGACTAGAAAATGTCTAAAGAGAACGGCAGCGCCACCTCTGGAAACCATGAATCAATTAGAACTTGTATGGTATGATATCATAGGGTAAGTATGCATCAAATCTGAAAACGAGACCTCCAGACTCTGATTTGAAAGAGGACAGATGACAGAGAGGGACAAAACTATTAAACGGTAGGGGCTTAAAATAAAACATGATCAATGAAGGAATGATCATAAAAAAATGTTCAGCTGAACACATTTACAAAATTTTTATCAAACAGAATCGTTTTATGAGAATGAAGGCCAATGGCAGTAAGTTTAAGCAATTTTATCTTTCTAAGCTAAAACTTCATATTCACTCAGGAGACTTGGAAAGCCCAGGGGACACAATAAACTGTTGCCTATGGACTATAGATGGTTGAGATGCTATCATAGTTGGCAGCGCAATATATCTTCTGGGTGTCTCAGACCACATAGTGTTCATCATCAGTCAGACACGCTAGTCCCACTAACCTACTTCATCACCTTGTCTACACCTGAACAATACAGTTGTTAGCACACCAATTACAATGTCATTTCTCTGCACCTGAACGACTTGGCACGAGACCTAATGGCCAACAAATGTGCAGTTGAGTACTAAGTAAGTGGGTAGGAAACAGCCATGTCCTGCAATCTATTTGCCCTTTGACCCATAGAAGCCATCAAAAGCCTGACCAACTGGTTGTTACAGATAAGTTGAGTACCAGGCATAACCAACAGTACTGGACATGAGAGTGTCACCCTGCTAACAGATTAATAATTATATAACATATAATTATAGAAGTCTGTCATCTTTAATTTTTAAAAAATCATGTATCAATTTCATATTTGATTTTTCAATCTTATATCTTATATTATCACATAACATTCTATTTAAACATCTTTTGCTATCATAAATGTTTGTGTGTTGCGTTTATTACCCCATGAACAGTCAGGGTCATTTTGAGGCAGGATCTCTGAAGTAACTGTTGGTTACCTGACTGAACATCATGAACAGTCAGGGTCATTTTGAGGCAGAATCAATGAAGTAACCATCGGTTACCTGCCTGAACATCATGCAGAAGATCCATCTCATGCTAACCATACTAAATAGGGTAAAGTTTCTTGCCCTGAAGTACACAATCACTACAGCACAGGGCAGTCTGTGATATGATTCTCTCAGATATACAAAGAGCCCCAGGTAGGGATAGAACTACACAACAAACCTCATCAGCCTGATACAACAGTGATGCAATTATTTCATAAAATTACACTTGAGCTATCTTTACAGGGAAATATGAGGTCCCAACATACAACCCATCAGTCAATAAATATAAGAAATGGAACAAGCTAGATTATCTATAACAGAACATTGGAAAATCTCTGACTTCCCCTCCCTCCAGGGAAACATTCACCCTCAGTAAGGATACATTCACAGAGGGAGGCTGAGTGGTCCTAATTACATAAACTATGTTCCCCTCCAGGAATTTGATGATATGGATGTTTACCGATACTATCAGCTGTAGCTCCAAACCATGCTACCCACAATCTATATACAAGTTTCCATCTCCTACAAGTCATTTACTATAATATATGAAGTATAATACTTTAACCTGGGAGGTCAAAGTTTTAACAACTGAGTTTAAAAAACCATAGTTTTTCATGTAATTCTACAATTTTATTGCAATGCATAAGTTAACAATGAATACCCCAAAAATCTGTACAAAGATTAAACATCACTAATACATCATTTATTAAGTACTCTAAATCCTTACAATTGTAGGAGTCTGTAAATCAGAACTACACATTCGATCATTTTGGTTAAAATAACTAGTAGAAACACATATTATCATTTGTGTTCTTGCTTTGTAAGCATTAGCTAGATCCTAGGCTGCAGTGTTAGACCTGGTGTTATACTTGGGGTTCCCAATACAAACTCCCAGAGTTGCTTCTGTGTATACAGTGTGAACAAGAGATCTGACTTAATATGTTATTCCAGGTAATTAGCATGATACAAGTCTTGATGATTTGCATTAGATCAATTATCATAAGGTTTCATCCTGGACCTGAGGTGTCACCTTGGACTTGAGGTATCACTCAGGACCTGAGGTGTCATCCTGGACCTGATGTGTCAAACTGGATGTGAGATACCATTCTGGACCTGAGGTGTCATCCTGGACCTGAGTGTCAACCTGGACCCGAGGTTTCATTTTGGTCCTGAGGTGTCACCTGGACTTGAATTGTCACCTTGGACCTGAGGTGTCACTCTGGACCTGAGGTGTCAACCTGGATGTGAGATACCATCCTGGACCTGAGGTGTCATCCTGGACCTGATGTGTCAACCTGGATGTGAGATACCATCCTGGACCTGAGGTGCCAACCTGAACCATAGGTTTCATTATGGATGTGAGTTGTCACTCTGGACCTGAGGTGTCAGCCTTGATGTGAGATACCATTCTAGACCTGAGGTGTCATCCTGGACCTGAGGTGCCAACCTGAACCATAGGTTTCATTATGGATGTGAGGTGTCACTCAGGACCTGAGGTGTCAACCTGGATGTGAGATACCATCCTGGACATGAGGTGTCAGCTTTGACCTGAGTGTCAACCTGAACCATAGGTTTCATTATGGATGTGAGGTGTCACTCTGGATCTGATATGTCTCCCCGGACTTGAGGTGTCACCCTGGATGTGAGGTGTCATCCTGGACCTGAAGTTTCACCTTGAACCTGACAGTGGCACCATGGACCCATATCCTCATCTTACCTATAAGGACTCTGAAGTTCTTGTGTAAGTAGATTTCATATCCAGATAGACAATGGTAAAATTACCACTGAATTACATGTTTAGTTTAGTTAACACTGAATTACATATTTGGTTTAGTTAACACTGAATTACATATTTAGTTTAGTTAACACTGAATTACATATTTAAGTTAGTTAACACTGAATTACATATTTAGTTTAGTTAACACTGAATTACATACTTAGTTTAGTTAACACTGAATTACATACTTAGTTTAGTTAACACTGAATTACATACTTAGTTTAGTTAACAATGAATTACATACTTAGGTAAATTAACCACTGAATTACATGCCCAAGAAAATATACCACTGAATTAGATTCACACATAAAATTACCACTGAATGATACACAATGATAGGCTTATAACTGAATTACTTATATAACCTAAGTAATTTTGTGATAAAACTTAAGGGGCGCACACACAAATTTAGACTCTACGTCAGGCCTATTGCAGGATAATTATATAAAATTTGTTTTTTCTCTACTGAATAGTCATAGATATATGTGGGCTTATTACCAAGCAATGGCTTATTGCCAAATAAACTGAGAATCCAAAGCTGTTATATTAGCAGTCAATTTACAATCACCATCATGATTTCTTGTTAGTACCTATTTAATCCAGGTGCATAAGTTTCGTATTAATGACCTGCATCAAACAGCAATGTTAATTGTAATCTAACACAGTGGTGTATTGGTCGTCAGCTAATCTGTTCCCCACCTCAATAACTAGGCACTGTCTGTCATCATAACACTCTCTAATCATCTCTGGCATCACCATTACCTACAATAAACCTTACTTTTTTATCTGATTATCAACCACTGTCGTTCAAACCAATTTGTTTCACTGGTACTTATAGGCCTGTGTCATAGATGTAATCGGTGAACAGAGTGATATGGCGACCACATTGTTTTTAATGTAATTACTTCAAACTCTCAATACAACATCCACTGAACATAAAACTGACTAATGGTCAATCATGAATGACGGCACAGCCCAATGTGACATTATAGCATGTACCAAGACTTAGAGCTGTAGGCACTGAAAATTCTATCACATACAAAATTTCAAATTAGATCCCATCAGAGAGAATATTATTCTACACATTTTCATTTGAGTGAGGCTTTAGAGAGCTGAAATTCTATTTTTCCACCTCAGAACAATACTACCTGATTATATTCACAGCGCCATAATGACACTGGTGTATAAAGTATAGCTGTCAGTTTGGGCCTCCAGCACCTGAGAAGCAGAAACCAACTTGCATCACAGTTTATAAGGAACAGACGATAATGAAGTGGTGCTACAATTATTTTAAATTCACATCCATTTCACAGCTGCTCTAAGTACAGAGAACAGAGGTAATCCTCTAACCTTTGTAATCCAAACCTCCAAATCGGATCTGGTATTTACTAACCCCAACTGTCCATAAAAACTACCTACAGTTTCCTTTTCCCCTTCCTCTATCAGTGTGTCACCTTTACAGTTTCCCCTTCCTGTATCAGTGTGTCACCTTTACAGTTTCCCCTTCCTCTATCAGTGTGTCACCTTTACAGTTTCCCCTTCCTGTATCAGTGTGTCACCTTTACAGTTTCCCTTTCCTGTATCAGTGTGTCACCTTTACAGTTTCCCCTTCCTCTATCAGTGTGTCACCTTTACAGTTTCCCTTTCCCCTTTCTCTATCAGTGTCACCTTTACAGTTTCCCCTTCCTGTATCAGTGTGTCACCTTTACAGTTTCCCCTTCCTCTATCAGTGTGTCACCTTTACAGTTTCCCCTTCCTGTATCAGTGTGTCACCTTTACAGTTTCCCCTTCCTGTATCAGTGTGTCACCTTTACAGTTTCCCCTTCCTGTATCAGTGTGTCACCTTTACAGTTTCCCCTTCTTCTATCAGTGTGTCACTTTTACAGTTTCCCCTTCCTCTGTCAGTGTGTCACCTTTACAGTTTCCCCTTCCTCTATCAGTGTGTCACCTTTACAGTTTCCCCTTCCTGTATCAGTGTGTCACCTTTACAGTTTCCCTTTCCTGTATCAGTGTGTCACCTTTACAGTTTCCCCTTCCTGTATCAATGTGTCACCTTTACAGTTTCCCTTTCCCCTTTCTCTATCAGTGTGTCACCTTTACAGTTTCCCCTTCCTGTATCAGTGTGTCACCTTTACAGTTTCCCCTTCCTGTATCAGTGTGTCACCTTTACAGTTTCCCCTTCCTGTATCAGTGTGTCACCTTTACAGTTTTCCCTTCCTGTATCAGTGTGTCACCTTTACAGTTTCCCCTTCTTCTATCAGTGTGTCACTTTTACAGTTTCCCCTTCCTCTGTCAGTGTGTCACCTTTACAGTTTCCCCTTCCTCTATCAGTGTGTCACCTTTACAGTTTCCCTTTCCCCTTCCTGTATCAGTGTGTCACCTTTACAGTTTCCCCTTCCTGTATCAGTGTGTCACCTTTACAGTTTTCCCTTCCTCTATCAGTGTGTCACCTTTACAGTTTTCCCTTCCTCTATCAGTGTGTCACCTTTACAGTTTCCCCTTCCTCTATCAGTGTGTCACCTTTACAGTTTCCCCTTCTTGTATCAGTGTGGCACCTTTACAGTTTCCCCTTCTTCTATTAGTGTGTCACCTTTACAGTTTTCCCTTCCTGTATCAGTGTGTCACCTTTACAGTTTCCCCTTCTTCTATCAGTGTGTCACCTTTACAGTTTCCCCTTCCTGTATCAGTGTGTCACCTTTACAGTTTCCCCTTCCTCTGTCAGTGTGTCACCTTTACAGTTTCCCCTTCCTCTATCAGTGTGTCACCTTTACAGTTTCCCTTTCCCCTTTCTCTATCAGTGTGTCACCTTTACAGTTTCCCCTTCCTCTATCAGTGTGTCACCTTTACTGTTTCCCTTTCCCCTTTCTCTATCAGTGTGTCACCTTTACAGTTTCCCCTTCTTGTATCAGTGTGTCACCTTTACAGTTTCCCCTTCCTGTATCAGTGTGTCACCTTTACAGTTTTCCCTTCCTCTATCAGTGTGTCACCTTTACAGTTTCCCCTTCCTCTATCAGTGTGTCATCTTTACAGTTTCCCTTTCCCCTTTCTCTATCAGTGTGTCACCTTTGCAGTTTCCCCTTCCTGTATCAGTGTGTCACCTTTACAGTTTCCCCTTCCTGTATCAGTGTGTCACCTTTACAGTTTTCCCTTCCTCTATCAGTGTGTCACCTTTACAGTTTCCCCTTCCTGTATCAGTGTGTCACCTTTACAGTTTCCCCTTCTTCTATCAGTGTGTCACCTTTACAGTTTCCCCTTCTTCTATTAGTGTGTCACCTTTACAGTTTCCCTTAATCTATCAGTATGTCACCTTTACAGTTTTACAGCTTCCCCTTCCTCTGTCAGTGTGTTTATCGTGTATAGAAGATAAAATTTATAATAATTATCAAAAGAAAAATTAGATTTTGGAGAATTTCTATGATCAAGACATGTACAATCTTCAATTAAAATAGTTTTACACCTATTACCAGTACTAGTTGGAATATTAGGTTTTTTAGTGTTTGTTATTGTTAGGCTGGATGAGAGGTGTAAACCACTGGTAAGACCTGGATGTCTTACAAATCAACCATTATCTAAAAAAGAATCAGAAAGAAACTCTAAAGACAAATGATATTAAAGTTATTTTCAATCTAATAAACATTACTTTCAATGAGTGACTATATTCATTTTCAAGTTGATATACCAATGCATTCCACAGAACTACTCCTATTTTATATGATTCCACTATATATAAATGGCACCCTGACGTAGGAGAGTATTATGTTACAGATGCTGAGCAGTGAGGAAGTAGGAAGTAAGAGTTGTACACAGCACTATCTCCCACTATCAAAGCATTCCCTAAACCAGCCAGAATCTTCATCAGATAACACATTGGAATTTGTAGGGAAGGATGGGGGAGTGAGGTCTTCTGACTAACTCATTCAGGTCTATCACCTCTCTAGCTATTTACACCACATCAGATTACACACTCCACTTATAGTCTATTGTGAGAAAGATGTTTGATATTAGTATTGTACTCCTCAACTGGTGATTAAATATATGTCATTCTTTAAATTTCAGCACCATTACTGTCAAACACTAAATGCTGGATCTCTGTTTATTTCAAAAATTGGCTAGTGTGACCTTAACAACACAGATTTATATCAGTCACAATCTGATATTCAAACCTACGTGTTACACTGCTATGTTTTTCTGAGCAATATTTTGACATTGTTAAGTACTTGCATATACACCAAAGGAAATGATCTTGCTATTAGTTAACAGTAAACACATTTTTCAATTATTGGTGTAAGGCAAGACATTTATGATTAATGTGATACCTAACCAATTATATAACTGATGTTTACTTGAAACTAGTTCTTACATAACAAAGGCAGACTGATGTCATCTAGAAATTACTGCAGTAAGTGTTGCTTTGCATGATATATATCTCCTTCCTGGCAATTTGATGCTCGAGAACAAAGGGCCATAACTCTGAATAGTGTAGTAGTAAGTCTACAGCATATGAAGTTAGGCAATTGTACATAATTGAGTTTAAATGTTAAAACAGATTTGAACTGGACAAAATGAGGGAGTTTGACCTAAACAGCCCTTTCTAGTGAGTACTGATCAGATTGGCCTTTTAACAAATCAAATAAATGTACTTAGAACTTACCCTGATTCCTACATCAGAAATATGGAAACGGGACCTGAACTGAATTCTATGTACTAAATGCTCAGTCAATAATTTTGTGTCAAGGTTGGGCACATGGCTAATGACCCTGATGTCAAGGTTGTATATGTGGCCAATGACTTTGTGAAGTTCAGCATTTCAAAGGACCATTAGATGGTCAGGAACATTCACTTCAGGGCAAATGGCCAAATAAAACTGATTTCTATCAGACAAAAATGGACAAACCACAGAGACTATTAGGCCCACCCAACAGATATTATCTTAGTGTGGTTTGGCATGTGTACAATATATTAAG